TCTCAACTTCCAGAGCAGAGACCTAGACCGGGTAAATCTGTCACTGTGGGTTTAGAACACTGGAGCATTGGACCTACAATGTCATCAGCATCGTCGAGTTCGATCTCTACCTTCCGTAAAGCAGCCTTCCTTTGCTCTATAAACATGTCAGAAGTCAGCTGCGATGTGCACCGAACCCCGGCAACGTACCTCCAGTGCCACTAGCCTCAAGCTTCTCTTTGATACCCTGAACGATATGCTTAAAGTCGGATTCATATGCGTCAAAGAGGGCTGTCGGGGTCTGGTCCATCGTAGAAAAACTGGTCGTCGTTGTTTGTAACAAACGCAGCACATCGTGTGGAAAGCAATTGACTGAGTTTAAAATCTAAAAATAGAATGTCGGATTGTTCCGTCTTCAATCTGGGGGCTTTGGGCGCTTATTTGGAATGACGAAGGGGGATCGTAGGACTAAGCCAATACTTTACCTAACAATTTAAACATGCATTGTAGGATGGTATTTAATGATTCTTTGTATCCTAGTCAGACCCTCTGAATGCCATCAAAATGTGGAAAATCCGTTCTATGCATCTACTTTTCCGGCTTCCTTACCTCTAAACCTAGGATGTGCCACCTCGCTGTACCACTGCGTAACCATTTATTGTTTTAAACTATGTGCATATAAAATTAGAAGACAAAGTTCTTACTCAAGGCAGTCAAAGCTCCCAATACTCCATTCGTGACGGAAAATTTGTTCGGTGGGTGTTCCGTCGACTCACAGTAGATGAGGGCCATAAGCAGGAAAAGGGCATCGGCATCCGACACAGAGGGATCAACTGTAACCGTGGCTGCGGTAGAGTTACCGATGACCTTTGACTGGTAGAGCGTGAATTCTACACAGGCTTTGGGCTCAGCTGTGTCGTCTCTTAACCGCCACACCTTAGCATCGTTTCATCAGGAAAAATCAATGCAAAGATAGGAAATATCTCACAAACCAGGTCTTAGTTTCGTATTCATATTTGAAATGCCACGACACTTTATTGTATGTCCAGCGCCGCAAAGAGACCAGCCTAAGTGCGACATTATCGTATGCTAATAATCCTTCAATTTGATGATTCACCTACCCCGGCCCCTTCTCTCTCATTCGAATGTCATCTACGGGAAGAACTTCGCCATCGATGTGGAAAGTCTTTTCTTCCCAGTTGATCAAGCCTTCGGTTTTGCTTGGGCCATTGATGACCGTGACATCAGGTTTCTGTGTCGACCTAACGACGAACGAGCCACTTTGTGAAGTTATGGAGGCGTCAGTGTAGTTTGCCTTGTTGTTGAAGGTGTAAACAGAGGTCATAGTCGAATATGATGAGTGGTATGAAAGGTGTATGGCATAGATTCGCCGTGTAAACATGTTTTTATAGCTGATGTGCACAGCCGCTAACCGGAGCTTCAAGTTAATTAGCCCCACTGGAATTGTAATAAACCGGGCTGTGGTGCTATAACAGAGTGTAACCTGGTATTTCGTTGCAGCTCGTCAAAAGATTCACCTGAGAATACTGACATAAGATAAGTCCAAAGGAAAACAAATTGAAGATGCGCAACGAATTATGTACCATGGTACATAGTCCAACTATATAGGGATCCTGTCGCCTAAGCTCTACGTCTAGATTGTCTATCGATTATACTAAGTATGTGTATTATACGAATTAAAATATAACACGAACGGAAGTGTAAGGTTATTTCACGATCGTCAACTCCGATGCATCAATAACCGCCATCGGTTGCCGTCTTTCCTTCGAGCGGTTCCACACAACCGATACCTGGGGTTGATACACCAGCTGCGCACGCTCGAGTATGGGGTACGCGGGAATGAGGCGGCTGAGGAACATCTTCGCGACGGTTGCGCCCCAGCTATCGGTGAGGCGCGGTAAGCCAGTCTGGACCGCAATCTGAATGCTCGTCAGACCACTATGTCCCTTAGCTCTGGAAAGGACGGAGGAAAGGTTGTCGATATCGACTGGCGTCCCAGAGATGGCGAGATGTTTCAGCGAGGGGAATGACGAATGGATGGTCTGGAGCAGGGTGGCGTCGAGGTCATCGACTTTACAGGAGAGGGACTCGATTCCTCTCGCAAGACTCCCCAATGTCGCGCACAGGTCGTTGGATTGGGCAGGGAGAGAGAGGTTGAGATCTGTGATAAAGCGATCGCGAGTGAACAGAGGTGCGTACGTACGAGGGCCGTCGTAGGATCGAAGGTTAGGAAGAACTTCTGGCGGGATGCTGTCCAGGGGAGGCAGATAAGTATCTCCCATCGCCATATGCAACGAGAGCTCTTGAACACCAGTGCAAAGAGCAAGGACTGGAACAAATAACGGCGACGCTACACAGCTCACGGGTATCTTGAGAATAGAAAGGGTAGATGGCGGTGGTGTATCCATGAGAGCAGAAAGTACTTCGTTTGCAGGGCCAACAGAAAGTTCTCGCAGGTTGCGGGACTGCAACAGATGCGACAGAAAGCGAGGATTCCTAAAATGGTTCACAAACTGGAATGGATAATGGAACGTCAATGCCTCCCATGGAGTCGCGGAGTAATTTGGAAACTCCTCAGGATCGCATGACGTCCTGCATGACTGCAAATCGAGCTCCTTCAGTGAGGCCATGCGGCTGAGAGTCAAAAGATGATGCTTCGCAAAAGTCACATCATGGCAAATGAACTTGCGAAGATTTGGAAGTGATGGGAGAGCAGCGAAGAGCGTGTCCACGAGAAGGCTCTTGGTGGGCTCAGGTGACGGAGGTCCTTGTGACGCGACGTCCAAAAACGCCGACGGTAGCAGCCGAATCTCTGTTATAGCGTTCGTGAGGTGGGAACGTTGGAGAACAGCCAGCCGTACAAGGCTGCTTCCTGAGCGGAAGTCCCTTCTACTGGCCAGGGTCAGGGATGCAGAAGGTGAGCTGTCGTGTCGAATGGAGAACGTCTTAAAGAGCAATGGTTGTGCTATGCCGCGAAGGGACCTGCACGTTAATACCATGGCTTGTATAGACAGCTTCGGCATATGAGACATAATTTCGAGCCACATTTCCAAGGGTAGGACGACATCGTGATGTACCAAAGTGGTCGCCGAGAACGAGAGCGCGCCTTCGGTGGAGCTCATTGAGCCAAAATTTCAAAAGCCTGGATCATTATTAGGCCTAACAGGAGGTATAATGTGTAGAGGTCTCACCGAGGTAGAGTTGTTGCGGAGGTTCTTGTGGTTGAGAGAGAAAGGAGAGTATCCACGTCCCCAATGACCCCAGGCCATTTTGAACCATGACTGAGCTCCGTCCGTCTACACACGGCATCCTCTTTTATTGATGGCCTGTCGTAAATGTCATATTTGAGGCATTTATAGACGTAACATTCCTCGGATCCAGCCAGGTCCCAAGGATTCAACTGGAACTTGACTGGAACTAGTGTATTGGCCAGGGTGCATGGTAATTCGCATGTATTACCACAAGGAATAGAAATAATACCAAGGAATCCATGACTTGAAAGAAAAAAGGGGGTTTTCGTCAATGAGAATGATTCCTACTTGCAAGAGAGTGGAGAGTAGATGCCAGCACGACGCAAATAAGCGCCCATCCCATCACCGCGCCAACCGCGCGCCGGCCGGAGCCAAGATAAATAAACAGTCCATAATTCACCCCACTACTGTATAGCAGTACAAAAGCTTTTGGGGAGGTGACTACTAAATAATACTATCAAGGGCTCTCAAGAAATTGATTTCCAACGCGTCTTCGCAAAAATTCTCACAGCGTATGTCCTGCTCCACTCTCACCACGACTAACACAAGATTCAAAGGCCATTAGGAAGGTTTGGCAATGGGAAGTCTTTCTCCATATGCTCCGTCTGAAGGGTTCCCAGATTAGCAGGCGATCGGGAAAACAGGGAGTAAAACTCACATAATGCCGGAAATGCACAGTCCTCCCGACACGGGTAATCTCTTCGATTTCAGCAGGTTCGAGGAGATCCGGTAGGTGAGAGACATCCGCCAGATTCTTGATACGTTGTTCATTCGCACTCGTGCTGACAGCAACCACGCCCTGAGCACGCGTCCAGAGCAATAAGACCGTGGCGAGGTCAACGGTCTTGCCTGTGGCGGTGGAGACGCGCTTCGCAATCTTCTCGAGGACAGGCTTGAGAGGGCCGCCGGTGGCATGTCGGAGGATGGGCGTGAGAGGTCCGTATGACTCAGTCAGAATGCCATGCTTTGCTTGGAGCTCTAGGACAGGGTCAAGGTGTACAAGCGTGTACGGATGGTACTCGATCTGCGACGTGGATCAAGTCAATGGATCAAGTCTTTGAATACAAGGTTGACGGTTGACTGTCGCCTCACCTGATTGACGACGGGTTTATACCTTGCGCCATCGAGAATGGCCTCAAAGTCCTGCACACGGAAATTGCTAACGCCAAGACTCTTGAGCTTTCTCTCAGTCTTGAGGTCCTCGAGAACATTCCACAGCGCTTTAAGTTGTCCCTCCTGGACAACGAAGGGATTATGGATGAGGAAAAGATCTGGTATCGTTCCCAACTTTCGTACAGACTCCGCCACAGACTCGCGGACTTGAGTCTCGAGGGGCGCATCTCCTTCCAGGCACCAAACTGGAAATCAAAACAAATTAAGTCAACGAACGCTTATCGGAAAGATAAAGAGGCAGTACGTTTGCTTGTAATGTAGATCTGGTCTCTGGGAATCCCGGATGCCGCCACGACTTGTCCTGTGGCTTCCTCGGTCCTGTAAATCTGCGCCGTGTCGATGTGGCGTATCCCAGCTGCCAGGGCTTGCTCTCCTGACTGGACGGGAACTTTGTTGGCATCGCCGCTACCGTTTCCCCACCCTAGCCATGGGATCTTGGTGCCATCAAGCAGCACAAATGAAGGGATGGCTTGAGAGGTCATGATGGTGGTGAGATCAAGATGAGAGACTACAATGTGATTCCTTGTGATATAGATTTCTATGATATATAAAAATATGTGCAGATTGTGGTGCTTAGCATTGATAGTGTAGCGGTTATCATCGGGTCTTCCCACACAGATTGGCCTGGACCCGGGTTCGACTCCCGGTCAATGCAGTTGACTGGTCATCGAAAACAATTCTTTCACTTTTGCACTTGCGTTTTATGCCCGCTATACTGGCGGCTCGCGACGTAAAATGTCTTAAAACGTAGAACATCCATCCATAGCAGAAGATATGAATCAAGCAAGGAAATAATGAACATAATACCTAGACTGATTATCATAGAGACAAGGTCACTGGAGACAAGGAGGTATGAACTCGAACGCTACCCTTTAACTCCTTGTCATTGTCTCCATCCGACCACCTAACAGTACCCGACACTGTAGCGCCACGAACACTTTGTTCTACCTTGCGCTGGCGGCCTTTGCCTGCAGGATCTTCCACGTCGCGGTTGACAACGATAAGAGGGCGCCGCAAGGAGGTAGTTGCAGAGAAGGCACCTTCATAGGTATGATGGAGAGTAACTACTGCAGGTGCAATGGCTGTGAAAGCATCCAGATTGAGCACTGAGTCGACAGGGGCGTCAATAAACAAAAGAGTGAGCGGCGCGTTGGCGGTCTTCGCATTGATTTTGAAATTTCCTCCAATGTCGTCCGGAGCTTCAAGGGACAAGGAACCTTTGATTGCTCTGAGAAGTGATATCAGTATGAGGAGTTTAAAGAATTCGGCTGCTTACGCGTTTGCAGTGGTCATGTCAAGATCAGTAATGCTTCCTTCATTATCGTTGAACAGTGTGACTTGAACATCGATAGGAGCGTTGGATGTGACCAACTTGAGAGAAGATGACGCGTGGAACTCGCCAACAATAGCGCCGTTGGCTGTGGCTACGGTGGCCTTCTCCGCCTCCAAAGACTGTTCAAGAGTCTGTCAGTAATCGGTGAAAAAACTCCAAGGAGCAGCCTCCCACCTTGACGCTGATCGGTACGTTAGCGGTCTTAAGATCGATAGATTCAAAGTGAACAGATCCGTTCAAGTCATCAACGTCATGCACGAACAAAGGCATATCAGTTTCGAATGCTTTGACGTTAAGAACGGAACCCTCGGTGGCTTGTGGGAGAAGGATCGTAAGTTCAAACCCAACCGAATTACGCCTAGACCAGTTTGGGCCCTGTCGTTAAATAGACATGAAATTGTGAGCGGACGAGGGGATAAAAACGGCATACAAAGATTCCAAGGCCATTCTCCCCATCCCCACGAGTGATCTTGCAAACCTGAACGCTTTCAAGGGCTTGGTCAAAGCGGTAGAATGCCTTCACTCCGACTTGTACATCCTCGCTGTCACCACCGTACTTGACTTTGACCTTTCCAGTGACCCGGCCACGAGCCAAGAACAGAAGAGCATCGGAGGAAACTGGGAGCTCGAAATTTGTGACGGATTGGTGGTTGCGTTTGGCAAAGAGCCTGCTCATGGAGACGAGCCCATCGACTTCCTCCCATTGCGCGCATTCTCCAAGTGTAACGTCCGGAGGAATGGGCCACTCCATGGGATCCATAATGTCAACCTACATACGTCGAATTCAAAGAAGATAAGATTAAGACGAGATGTGGCAAAAGAATGAAACTCACATCAGTATCGTTGACGCCTTTGAAGTCCTTGAAGCCCTTGCGAGTCATGCGATACCGAATGCAGTCGCGGACTACAACAAATGCCACCCATAAGAACAATAGCTTGGAGAAAAATCTCCAAACCCTGCGGCCGCGCTTGCGACACTTTCTGTCCCTTCCCTTGCACCGGCACGCTGGTTGAGGTTCACTCTGCACAGGGAGGGCAAGCGGCTCGTCCGACTTGGTGTCGAGGAAAATCGGCTGAGGTTTCATGCTGGATGGAAGTGGTGGCATCTAGCCACCTGAGCGCCGTTTTATCTGTGGTTTGACGAATCTAAACGGCACCGCTGACATATGGTAACAGACCACGCGTTGATGACAATATGGAGAAGGTTTGCTGCGGCTATCATCATTGCGCTTGGCCGCAGCCCTTTCGGACTTTGAGTCCATCACCCAAAAGTTCCATCCAACGGAAATTATACGAAAGGTTTGTCAGACCACTGCGTGCCGCAGCAATCTCGCAGCCAGCGCGTGGCAAGGTTGGGCGCTACACCAAGGCACAATTTCGTTTATTTCGAAGAAATAATCAACAGTGAACATGCGGCGAGGGCGTCATCTAAGTAGATAGGTGTCATGTGCGATTGTACTCAAAACCATCCAATACTTTTTTGATCCTCCAAAAAGCTAAGCATATGAATAGCAAAGAAAGGAATTGCGAATGTCCATGACCTCGTATATCTGCACTGGCCTCCCGATGGGCTCTGTAGGCAGAGTATCGTTGAGAGTCACATTGACATAGGGAGGATCCTGCGTTGAGCGACCCGATATTTGGTACAGACGATTCTTAAAATCCATGCTCTGCCACTTCCACCACAAACGATCGAGATTTGCATGGTGGAGATAGAAGAGAGGGTCTAACGGTGTGTCGAAGAATTCTTCGTAGACATATAGTAGAGTGCGACTACTAACCTCCAGGACTGGACCACGTATCCCCCATATCTCCACCAACTGCACGATGTCCCGAATCGTGTATTTTGGGTAAAGGAGTGACGGGTCTTCCTTCAAGTTCTATTCGAAAAGTCTCGAATGAGGTGTTGTTGAGAGTGTTCTTGACAGCGCCTGCCGTAAGGTGCTGGAGCATCGTAGGGTCAAACCCCCGTTCCAACGGATGACTGGTGATATTTGGAGGAGGGCCTGTACCAAAAGGAAGAAGGTATCCAGCAAAGACACCACTCGATACCGGAGCTCGAACAAGAGGGAGGTTACCAAATCCTCCATGAGCATCGAAAATTGGTGATGAGCGGAGCCTAGTACTTAAAAGCCGTAAGAACCTGAATAGTATTAGCCTCATCACTTACAAGTCTAGGTTCGATGGATCCGTATCAATCGTCCAATCCCAGTATCTGGAAAAGAATCAGAAAGAAAGCGGAAAGCAGGGAGCCACATACGGTATAGGTCCATTATAGTTGCATTCTTTCTGTAATGCCGTTGAATACGCGTGTATGAACCAGCGATGCCAAGGGAGAAACTGGCCCTAGCAAACGGTGTATTTAGTATGATATTGACTCGGCGCACATGTGATCAAACGTACCACTGAATGCACTCTTGTTGTAAGATTGATATGGTGCCCTTGAAAATCATCAAACCGTGTTCTAGCTCCGGGGATTGGTACCGTAGAATTCAACGCCTGAAGGCATCGTACTGCTTCCAGATACTGAAATCTCTGGTAAGGATCTATAGCCCGCCTAATACAGATTCGCTGTCATTATCCTGTAATGAGTCTATTGGCGGCGCACCACTCTCGTCGTAGGTTCACCCTACACGCAGATGAAGGCGGCATCCACTCCTCGGGCGTAGCATTGGTGTGGTTGAAAAGTGTCCTAGAGTCTGTGCCCTCGGGAATCTCGTTTTCAGACGGAGTCAAAGCTGGTGTGCTTATATTGACGCTCTCTAGACCTCTTTTGGTGGAGATCGCGAACTGCGCCAAACATAGGAACACCAACAGAGACTGTGAGATCGACAAAGACCAAATCATAGAGGAGAGATGGTGGTGCGAGCTTTGGGGTCTAGTCTTTCCTCTCTTTTAAATCTCGCCCTCGGCACTTCAACGTCAACCAATATGCCATAGTGCATTTCTTCCGGTCTTCTTTTCATTGACAGATGCTCCATTTGCTCCCGGTTTCGGCGATGTTACCGCACCGTGTAAGGATATTGGTGCATAGGAGACGAGTACTAGTTCCAAAGCTATACTCACCTCTTATCCTTGAAAACTAAAAACATCCCATGCCAAGGAATAAACGCCTTTCCAGGATGGATTTTTGCCTGCACGGATGCCTTCCGATGCTTTACGTGTTGCTCAACGTATTCGCTCCGCCTTTGCTTAGGCTGCCAGTTACATCAGCTAAGATGTTGATTCTTCCTTTGAGCCAACTTTCTGTTTCATTTCGGGCTCAATTCACAATTAGAGCTCAACATGCTGCCAATGAAAGATGTGTACCTCTGGTCGAGCAAACTGTGGCCTAAAAATCCGTCATTTTATCAATGGGATGGTCCATGAAAATCGGAGAATCCAGCTATTCCAGAAAATCCACTTATCATTTCGACAAAGAATTAAAGTGTGGGTGAGGATTTCTAGACTTGCGACTTCAATCTCTGTCAGGACTGCAGACCTCGCTTTGTGGCAGAATCTTTGTGAACCACAACAGAGGCAACAAGAAATTAATCTACAGAGAACTTGAATTAGATAGCTAGGGATGTCGTACAGCGTCCTTCCATAAACGAATTTCAAAACTTTTCTTACGACCATTAATAAAGGCTATACATATGAATAACAAAGAAGGTTGTTTCCAATGTCCATGACTTGATGTATCTGCAACGGTTCTGAGAGTGGTCCCGTCAGCAGGGTATAGTTGAGCGTTACGTCGACATAAGGGGGCGTTTGCGTAGAGCGACCAGATATCTGATATAGACGTTCCTTTGGATTTACGCTCTGCCATTTCCACCACAAACGATCAAGATTAGCATGGTGGAGATAAAACAGTGGGTCTAGACAATAGCTTCAGAAAGATCTCGAAATTCCATAGACTAAGATTACTGACCTCCAGGGCTAGACCACGTATTACCCAAGTCTCCACCGACAGCACGATGTCCAGAGTCGTGGATCTTGGGCTTGTGGGTGATAGGCCGCCCTTCAAGTTCGATGCGGAAAGTTTCGAATGTCTCCTTTCTGAGAGTAGCATGAACGGCGCTCTTTGTGAGGTACCGTAGCAGTGTATGGTCGAACTCCCGTTCTAAAAGATGGTAGGTAATGTTCGGAGGCGGTCCTGTACCAAAAGCTACATGCTGCGTAGCAAAGACACCACTAGATAATGGCCCATGTTCTGCGAGGTTACCGAAGCCTCCGAGGGCGTCGAAAACTGGTGAGAATCGGAACCTTGGATTATTACTAAAGGATAGCTCAACGATTGGCGCTTTATTACTCACCGATTTGGATCCTCGGGGTCCACGTCT